TTAAAGTTCTCACGTTTTCTTCATGGGTATCTCTTTTGCTCTGGTAATAATCCAGTCCTTGTTCCAGTTCATTAATTTCTCTCCTGTAAAAAGCACAATCAGACTCGGCCATAATTCTGTTTTTCTTCTCGTTCCTCAGAGACTCGTTTGCACGGCTCAGATGCTTTTTGAGTTCACTCACCTGCCTTAAAAGTTTTTCCACGTTTTCATGTTTTTCACAAGCAGCTGATTCCTGCTGGACTTTTCCAGATCCAGGAGTTTCTTCTAGTGGTTTCAAATCATGTTCGGAGCTTTCTTGGCCGTCTCCGTCAGAATCAAAATGTATTTTCAGATTGTAATCCACTTCTGGATCTTCGAGGCACATCTCATAAGACGGTTTTGTTTCACTAGAGACGTTGTTTCCAGGCATTTCTGGGTCTTTGTGTAAAATATTCTTGTGTTTGAGAGAGAAAGTCAGAAACGCGATGATTCTCACGAGAGCTCTGTCACACGTGTGTTAACAGTGAGCTGCGGAGTCTACTACTGACTGACGAGCCTTTGATGACGTCATATAGGACACGCAGACGCTGGCAGGGCCCTTTATGTTGTGCTCCTGATCTCCTTTATTCTTCTTCCGTGGACGTTAACGCGTGCACCCTCCCAAGTTATACATCAAAACGAGCGGCTCGGCAGTGGGAGATGTACTCTTTGGTTTTCTAAGCAATCCGTTTTACGATGGCGAAAAGATTTGCAAAAAACGTGTGTGCCACTCAAAATTTGCATTATTATGAATTAAATATGGGCATAATTTAATTTATTTGTATTTATTTATTTAGTTATTGACTTATTTTTAAGGAGGATAAAACCACTTGAGATTAAGCATCTCGTTTACAAGTGAGCAGAGGTGGAAACGAGTTGAGTAGCTTTTTTGTGTATTAAGTTGTTTTGAAAATCCGTACATTTACTTTTACTAGAGTATGTTTTTTTAAGAATTGTAATTCGCTTTTTTCAAGAATTGTAATTCGCTATTTAAATCATATCCGTAACTGAAATAAGTTGTAGCTTAATGAATTAAAAAATATTGCATGAGCGCTGCGTCTAAACGGGGGGGGGGGGGGGGGGGTATACCTTAGATAATGAGGACAAACAGACATTTTTACCGCAGTTTTGCTCAAAAACATTAGTTCAGTCGTGTGATCCACTCGCTGTTTACCTCCTCTCATCCTCTCCTGTGGGTTAGAACCCGCACCTTAGCGCACCGGTGTGACGTCATCAGAATTCTGCTCGGTTCGGTAACCAGACTCGGTTCCGTATTTGAAACGTGTTTCCCTACCGCTCCGCACGGCAGCGGCAAAATAACGTTTGGCGCTCAACAAGCGGATTATCAGCGCTTTATCAAATCAAATCAAATCAAATCAACTTTATTTATAGAGCGCTTTCACATGGCCAGAATGGACAAACAAAGCGCTGTACATCAATAAAATGCAACACAATAGGACAGAGATATGACCATTAAAATACATTAATAAATCCATTAAAATACACTAAGAAATCCCTGTAAAATACCGTAATAAATCCTATAAAAATACAATAAGAAATCAATTTTAAAATACAGTACAAAAACCTGAGTGCCAGTTCACAGTCCATATCCGGCCTACTTCCCCCAACTTCAACGTCCAAAAGCCAGCGAGAACAGATGTGTTTTCAGTCTTCCTTTAAAAGTTTCTAATGACATGGCCTGTTTTACATCAGCTGGCAGCTCATTCCAGAGACTTGGTCCAAGTACTGAAAAAGCTCGACTACCACGAGACTTCAGGCTGTACCTAGGCACATTTATCAGCTGACCTAAGGGGACGCACCGGGACATGCTGGTGGATGATATCGGAAAGATATTTAGGAGCCCCTGTGTTTAACGCCTTAAGCACAAACAGGAGGACCTTAAACCTGATGCGATAAAAAACAGGGAGCCAATGCAAGGCACGTAGGACTGGTGTTATATGTTCAGACCTCCTGGTACATGTTAACAACCGGGCTGCAGAGTTCTGAACCGCCTGGAGGCGTGCTACTGGAGCTTGTCTAAGCCCCGCATATAGCAAATTACAATAATCCAGCCTGCAGGTAACAAAGGCATGGATTACAGTTTCCAAAGGATTATGGGACAGAAAAGGCTTAATTTTCGCAATGCGGCGTAGATGAAAAAAGCAAGATCTCACAATACTGTTCACCTGAGCATCACATCTGAGATCTGCGTCCAGTTTTACCCCTAAGTTAGAGACCACCGCCTTCTGATGCGGTGCCAGAGTGGCAAAATCAAGCCCTTGGGCACCTCCTGGGGTCTTTGGTGGCGTAAACAGAATAACTTCAGTCTTGTGTTCGTTGAAACACAAGAAGTTCTGAGCCAGCCATTGCTTGATGTACTCAAGGCAGTCCAACAGAGGTTGAATGGTGCATAAACCACCACGCTTAATTGGAAAGTCATTTACTCATAAAACAGAAGACCTGCAGGCCTCTGTGAGTTAAACCATCTTGATACTGTTCAGGTGTAACATTGTGCTCCATCCCTGTTTGAACTCAGAAGATGCTCCTTGATGCAGCAGATTTGTGAGGATTTAGCTTGTTTCTTTATTTTACTCCAGAATAAAAGATTAAATTATTACTAAAGCAGTTCAATGTAGTTAAATTAGTCATTCACATGATTCTAACATGCTGCAGTGTGTGTGTGTGTGTGTGTGTGTGTGTGTGTGTGTTTGTGTGTGTGCATGCACACGAGTGAATTGGGAACTGGCGTTGTGGTTTTGCACCACTTAGATGTGGCCATCCTTACGCTGACAAAAATGTAACTAAGTAACTTTTAATTTGAGTACATTTTATTTACGATACTTTTTACTTTTACTTGAGTAGAAGGAGTCACCGCTCATCTGAGAAAGGTGCTGGATCAAAAAGTGGAATAAACAAAATAAGAATCCGCACACTTCAATCTGCAATGTAGGAGTTTATTGGTCAAGCTTTCGGTCTGATGAAGGTCTCTGACCTAAAGCTTGACCAGTAAACTCCTACATCGCAGATTGAAGTGTGCGGATTCTTATTTTGTTTATTCTACTTTTACTTGAGTAAAAATTTAGGCAAGTACTTTTACTTGTACTTTAGTAAAAAATTATCAAAGTATTGGTACTCAAACTTAAGTAGGAAATTTTAGTACTCTTTCCACCTCTGACACAGACACAGCAGCTGGGGAGCAGGGAGGGAAATGCGACAGTCTCCTTTGGCCATCGTTTCTCCCTCTGGCTTGTCTCTGCTCTCTGGGGCGTGCAGCAGGCTCATGTATGGTTGTGGCCCACCACAAGTACAATAATAACATCTGAAGTTTCCTTGCGTCAGAGCCGCCATTAAAATCTATCATTTTGTCTGGGTCAAGCTAACAGGTCTTCCTCTGGCTATGTCACTTCTGTATGGGCAGAAAATGTTTCTCTGTTCAAAGGAGGCTCTACCTGCAATATGCTCTTCAAGCACGTTGATCAACAAGTTGTTTTTTGAAGTGCTATATAAATAAACTTTGATTTATAAACACGTGTGTGTTTTTGTCAGGATACTGAAGAGCTCATTTTGGCTTTTTGCCACCTTAACCCTCGGGATCACATGACCTCAAAGAGTGGGAGCTGACTCTTAAAAAAGATTTGCTCCGACATCTTTTGGAATACTAGCACCTACTATGTATCAATGCTCGTATATCAAAACGTAAATATTTCTGTCCTCTTTTGTTCAGTGTAGCTCTCGTTTTGATAACGCCTGAAGTGAAAAAAGCTACAGAGTTGTTTAAAGTGGCTGCAGTAACCAAATGTTACCACAGGGTGTGCTTTTTACTTCATTTGTACATAATGCACCTTTAACACCACTGACACAGTTCATTCCACGAGTAAACTCAGTCACCTCATCATCCACCTGATTATGTGAAGCCTAATTAACAAGTACACACCTGTGAATTATGGTCGCAGGTCTGATCATAAAGCAGAATCAGTCATAAGACAAAGACTCGCCTAAACCGGCAAGACTGGATGGCATCAAGAGCAAATCTGTCATTCCTGCTTCATTTATAAAACCCCTGAAGGTTCTACAATCTACAGGTTCTAACCTGGAGAACCAGACAAGCCTCTGAATCTGCTGCTAAGTTCAGTTATCAGGGCTGAAGGTCAAATGAACCTTCATTTATCAATGAGGCTTTCTGACCCGTTGCTTTGCCCAAAGGTTAACTACTCAATGCTTCATTCAGCCAAACATATCTAGTGACCTCTGCTGCTGGAGTTGAAACAGGACAGCCAAGTCACCATCTAACTGTCTGTGGATTGTATGTTTTATGACTGCTGTCACTTTGGATGTAGCCAGAACCTTTGAGATGTTTCTAAGGCTTTGGATGTAACTAACTGAGGTTTGTGTTTCTGTTAATCAGGTACAATCTATACGTGGATTTTCAGGCTGGAGAAACGGAGCGGTGGAGCATGTGGCCAAGAAGAAATAAAAACAGCCTGCACCAAACCAAGGTTTGTCCGAGAAGGGAAAAGTTCATAAGTACAACACGGAGTGGGAAAAGGGCTTTCCATTAAGAGTTTGATCTCTGCAGACAGTGCTCCAGTCTGTAACTATAACTAAATTAGGAAATTTGACAATGTTGCGTGGATTTACTGCTTTAAAATAAATAAATTTATTGACATTTAGCAGAAAACGAAGAGAATTAAAAGAACAATTGTGCCATCTGATGCTTTGAAGGAACGTAGGACGCCCAGAATGAACTATATTCACATGAAACATGAACTCTGATGAAACCCAACTACAATCCCTTAAATATTAATAAAATACTATTAGACTTTCTTTCTTTTACTTTACTGTTGTTTTACATTTGTCACACTTTTTTTTTAGGTTTTTCTTAAACTTTTCCTCCTTTTATAAGTTTCTGATTTAGACAACAAATCAGAAGTGAAAGTGATGAAACAGGGTCCAGGCTCCCAAAGTCTGATTACAGAGGGAAATTCAAATGAGCCTAAAGTTTATTTAAGAGTATTTTATTGAGCCACTCAGAAATAAAAAGTCCACCTTTACACACAAATTCAGAGAGACAGAAGAAAAATAATAAATCATAAAATATTAAATGAAACAAACCCTTTAAGAAAATCCTCCCTGAATTGGTCTCTTTTATTTAAATCCAAAGATTTATTATAATAAAATAAACAAAAAGTGAAAATTTCATCTATTGTACTTTTTTTATTTCATAATTCAACATAAAACAGCAGAAACAGAGTGCATAATGGTCACTAATGGTCTTTGCTGTTGAGGCTGTTTGGACTCTAGTGAACCTAGCCAACGTATTTCATGTTCAACACTGCAGACATAGTAGACATACAATAGATTCAGTTGCAATTTGTTTCATTCTTACCTAAAAATGAATAAAAAAATTGTTTCAAAGTCCTGATTGGTGTTTTCATGTATGAAAGGGTTAATGTCACAGGATGATGATTAACAGCTGCTTAGTTTTATTTGAAAGAACTTTAATATTAATATCATTTTATCCTTTCCCATTAGAAAAATTAAACAGAGTTAGTTCATTAAAACACAAAGTCTGACATTAAAGTAGTGAAAAACATTTGAGCACTTTCTAACTTTCCTCTAAGGGCAAAGGTTGATATTTAACCTTTGACCTTTTGGCTCTGTAAATGAGCACGCCACAGATCATCCCGACGGCAGCGAGGAGACACCCAGCGATGAACACCAGGTTCATGTTCAGGTTCATCCCTGGAAGCGACAGACACGCAGCTGACTGAAAACTGTCACCTTGGAGCTCAGAAACATCCACACACCTGTTTACTCACCTGAGCCTCCTCCCTCAACATCTGCTGACCGCCTCAGGCGCAAAGGACCCTGGGAAACGAAGTGCTTTCCGGTCTGGAGAACGGCTTCTCTTCTACGGCGGGAGCTGTGACTTGTGGAGTTGATGCATCCTTGTGAGCAGCGTGTGTTGGGGTTTCCTCCTTCACACATGATGACCGAACAGCTGATGTACACCTGTAAACAAGACAACACTAATCAAGCGTCCTCCACCTAGTGAACAAACAGCAGAACTGTCAGCAAACCTTTTGGTCCGACAACAGATTAAAAAAAGGATTTGTGCAAACTATTAACCCGAGCAGGACTCCTCCTATCAGATGTGGGCTGGTGGGTGTCTGCGCCATGCATTGGGTGGGGTGGTCCATTTGTTACCCCAGTAAGAATGGGACCTTCTCCTGGTTCTGGTTCTGGTTGTTCCCTCTGGGCAGTAGTACCTGCTTGTACACCTGTGTGTGTGTGTGTGTGTGTGTGTGTGTGTGTGTGTGTGTGTGTGTGTGTGTGTGTGTGTGTGGCATTCATTCCTGTGTGTTTTTAGGTTGAATGCCCTTTATGTGTTATGCTTGGGGGTAGGAGCGTGTGATTGTTTATTTGTCAGGTTGGGTCTCGGACTCGGCCACTGCAACATCTTTTTTTATTTTTTTACCGTGTCCTGTCCGGCTGTGAGGTAATCAGAAATGATGTCTGAAAAGACAAGCCTTACAGTTTTACTCTCACAGGTGGAGCGCTAAAGCTTCTGCATCTTAGCCCTAGCCTCCCACTGTTGCGTCTCTTCCTTTCCCTTTCATTTCCATCTCTGTGTCCGTTGGGATTAAAGCGATTCTAATAAATGTTGTTATACCAGGTGGGTCATCATAGCTGAAGCTGTAACACTTCAATTCAGTTCAGTTTATTTAAGTAGCACCAAATCAAGAGTCGTCGCAAGGCACGTCGCAAAGTAAACATTCCTACTGAGTTCAGTTTATTAAGCCAGTTAGGGATGCACTTTTACCGATACTGGTATCGGTAAAAGTTAACCAATACCAGGAACCGATACCAGTACAGTTGCTTGAAAGTGGCTTCACTGTAACTTGTTATTTCTGTTCACCTAATATTTTAGTTTTGTGATCACTTCTTTTCATATATTTTACTTTTTATCTACCTCACAGTCTTTTCCCGTTGAAAGCAGAGAAGAAAATAAAACCTGTATTCCAATTCATAGCATTTTTTGTGTGGTAGAAGTATCGTATCGGTATTCGGTATCGGCGAGTACTCAGATCCAAGTATCGGTATCGGTTTGGAAGAAAGTGGTATTGTTGCATCCCTAATGCAGTCATTTAAAAGTTTCCTGTGTAAGGAAACCCAGCAGACTGCACAGAGTCATGTGTCAGTGCCTTTAGAGCAGTATGCAAGCATGTAGTGACGGTGGTGAGAAAAACTCCCTTTCAACAAGACGAAACCTCTAACAGAACCTGGCTCAGTGTGAGCAGCCATCCACCGCTCCTTTTGTCAGAGTAAAGTTGTAAGGCTTGCTTTTGGCATTCAGACATCAACTCAGATTGATTTATAGGCTGAAATAATCTTAACCTAGAATAATTTTAATCATGTTTTAACTCACCTTAAAAGTGATTTTATTTTCAGTTTGTTTATGTAAAAACCATCTGAACACATATATGAATTAAGATTTAGATTGGTGGATTTTTAAACATTCAATAAAGTTCAAACCTTTGCTTTATTGTTTTCATTCATTAAATCTTCAGTTTTACCGATTTTGAACATGTAATGTTTTAAATGTGTAAAAGTTTATTTCTGCAATTTTATTGGTGCTTGTCGACTCGTGGACTCATTCACACAACCTGTCGTCACCTGGGGCAAAATCTACTGAACGAAAAGAAAGATGAATTTTATGATTTGGAAAAATGAACTGTGTTCCTCACCTGGTCGTGTAGCCCGATGAACTTAAAGGCCTCCATGCTGAACTTAAACTGTCCCTCAGAAGAAAAGTGGACTTGAACAGTCGGGTCGACGACACACCTGGTCAGGGTCAGACAGAAGGTCAGGGTTCATGAACAAATCTTATTCTTGTTTTTTTCTCCAGGGTTCTCACCCGTTCTCGATGATGGAGTAGGTTGGATGGTAGTTGGGGTTGTCATAGGGTGCAGCTCTGCAGGACTCCACTAACATCTCGGTGTTGTTGATGGAGGAACTGGAGTCCAGCTCCATGTAGATCCTCTCTCCAACGTCGTACTCCAGTGGGTACGAGTTGGGATTGATCATGGTTCTGAACTGGCTGTCTGGGTAGAACTCAAACTGGTAGGTGAAGGTGCCGAAGCCTTTCTCCCACACGGTGACTTTCTTCCTGTGTGCTGAGAAGCCCAGGGTAACGTTCCCCCGTTTGGGGTACTGACAGTAGAACCGAGCTTCCACCAAGTGCTTCCTGGTGATCAAGCTGTTCACATTGTCATCCACCGTGGTGATCTCATTCTTGAAAATGAGGTAATCGTCGTCTTCCTGTTGGGTAAACGGTCATGTATTAAATAAAGATAGAGCCTGCTTCCTAATTCAGGAGTAGCATCCTTGTTCTATGTGGACCAGGTAAGTTGGGTCCTTCCTCAAACACGATGACTGGAAGTGAGCAGCTGTGAATTAGAATGGTCTAAATTTCCTCCTTAATCCCACCCTTACCACCGCTATTGGATAAAACGATACACTGCGATCTAGCTAGTGCAGGGAGCCGCTGTGGGTTTCAATGATCAACTCTGGTCTTGTATAGCATCTTTCTGAGTCAGAAGGCTCCAAAGTGCTGTGCACTACAGCCAATCATTCACACTCTGATGGTGATGAGCCACAATGTAGTCATCGGTAACAATGTAGGTCGGTAACAAGATGGCACCTGTGCTTGGCTTAGCTGCAGCCACCGGCCACTTTTTCAAACTTTTCTCCACTAACCTCCTCTTTTCCACCTTGCTCCTGTCTGCGATTGTCATGGTCTGCGTCTCCCTCATGTGTCTCCTTGTGTGCTCCATCCCCCTCTAAGGATCCCCTTATGTGTCTCTTTGTGTTCCTCATGTGTCCCCTGGTCTGCAGCCCTCCAGATTATCCCTCCCAGGTCCTGTGTTCCTTCGGTCTCCCCTAGTCACCCCTCTGCAGTTTTTATAGGTTCAGCTTTTCATTTTATTAGTCTCTTTAGTGTGTTTTCCCACCGGTTTTTGTAGTTTTCCTTCCCCTTAGAATATTAGTTATTTTTTGCTGGCTCTTCTTGTCTTTAGGTTTTTACTCTTAGGTCATGTTAGTTTCCTCCCTGATTAGTTAATTGCTTTCACTTGGTTTCTCTCCCCACACACCTGAAGCCTATCTGCCTCCCATCATGTCCCAGTGTATACAACCCTGTCTGTGTCTCTGTCTGTTGTTGGGTCATTGTCTATAGTCACCTTTGTCTCGTTCCCCTCCCTAGATTTGGATCTTCGTTTTTGGATTCTAGGTTTTGTTGTTTGGGACTTTGATTTTTGTTTTTTGGCTCCCTGCCTTTTTGGACTTATTCTTAATAAAAGGATTTTACGTTATTGCTCCACTAAGTGTCATCTGGTTCCCTGCATCTTTGGGTCCTAACCTCCTCTTGGCTTCCCATCGTGACAGCGATCCTCTTCGGTAGTGTCCCTGCTACCATCTCCTATGATCGCCAGACTCTGTTGTCCTTCCGTTCGTTCATGATCACCCAAGATGCACCGAGGATGTACCTCTCTGTTTGTTTTTCTGAGTGGTGCACTGGCCCAGTGCCAAACGACAATTCCAGCCAGGGCGCCCCCAGTGATGTTCATCCACTCCCGGGGAAAACGTAGGAGGAAAAGAGGTAAACGAGCAGGAATCCAGGTGAGAATAAGACTTCTCTTAAAGCGTGGTTTATCTAGTATACATCGGCGCAATCTTCTAGCTTCTTGTCCTTTGTTTGGCGACTTGAGCGCCACTTCCGCATTCCCGCCAGGCTGCGTTGTGGCGCGGTTTCTCTGTCCAAGTTTTTTAAGGTCGGTTTATCCTCATTCCTCAGTGGTTTCTCCTCCTGTTCCCTCCATACGTGGATCTAACCCTGCTAATTTATGTCCACTAACTCCAGCTGTTTCTGTAGTTTCTGATTTCTCCACCTCACTCAGTATGGCTCTATTAAATACCCGCTCTGTTAACAATAAGTCCTTCCTGCTCAATGATCTAATTCTCTCTAAAAACCTGGATTTTCTGTTTCTGACAGCAAATTTGGCAGCAAACATCTGATTATTCTGCTCTGATTGAACTCTGCCCGAGTGGTTATTCTTTTCTTAGCCAGCCCCGGGGTTCTGGTCGTGGTGGAGGCCTAGCTGTTGTTTTCAGAGACCATCTTCCATGTAGCTCTACAACCTCTGGTCAGTTAGCTTCCTTTGAATTAATGTTGGGCGTAAGGACCCATTCTACTGTGCTGTGGTCTATCGTCCACCTGGTCCAAACAGTTCTTTCCTTCAGGAGTTTAGTGACTTTCTATCCTCCACTGTGAAGCTGTCCAGACTGGTGATTGTTGGTGATTTTAACATCCAAGTTGATGAACCCTTTGATCACTTTGCCATCAATTTCTCCAGCCTTATGGACACCTTCAGCTTTACCCAGCATGTTTCTGGCCCCACACACACCAGGGGGCACACTCTAGACCTTGTTTTTACCCTAAGTCTAAATGCTGACAGTGTTTGTCCTGAGGACGTTTATACTTCAGATCGCCATTGCATTTTCTTTAACTTGTCAGTTTCTGTATCCCCACCTCCTGCTCGCCGTATGGTTTTTTCTCGTTTTCTTAATGAGAGCACAGCTAGCAATTTTTCTGCTGCTTTTGATTCACCCTGTTCTTCTGATAATGACCCAGATTCCTTAACTTCTCAGTTTAACGAGCACTGCCTCTCCATTCTGGACAACATCTGTCCTGTCAGAACCAGATCAGTTCCTGCAGTGAACCCTACTCCCTGGTTTAATGACAAACTTTGCAGCCTGAAGCGCCAATGCAGAACAATTGAGTGTTTGTGGAAGAAAACCCATCTCCACGTCCATCTGCTGCACCTAAAGGATCTTCTGACATCCTTTAAATATGCAGTCAGAGACGCCAGGGTTTCCTAGTTTTCCAACCTGGTGTCCCAGAGAAAAGGGAACCCCAAGGTGCTGTTTAACACCATCAGCAGCATTGTCTCTCCTGCCTCTCCTACAGCCTCCATCCACTCTGTTGCAGACTGTGAGAACTTTCTGTCTTTCTTTGTGGACAAAGCCAATAAGGTTAGATCTAGCATCTCTCCTTCAGCCTTATCGCTGCCTCTCCCGACTCCAACCAGGCCCGTCATCCTAGATAGCTTTGCTCCTGTTTCTTTGCCTGAGTTAACCAAACTAGTTAACTCTATGAAGACCTCTGCAAGCCCCCTCGACATCTTACCCTCATCTTTGTTTAAAAGTGCTTTTCAGTCCATCGGTCCCAGCGTGCTCTCTATAATTAATGCTTCTCTGGTTTCTGGTCAGGTCCCTGCTTACTTTAAGAACGCTGTAATCCACCCGCTTCTTAAAAAACCGAGTCTCGACCCCTCTCTCCATAGCAGCTTCAGACCCATCGCTAAACTTCCGTTCATCTCCAAGATCTTGGAAAAGGTTGTGGCTAAACAACTCACAGCTGCTCTTGATGAACATAACATCTATGATAGCTTCCAGTCAGGTTTTCGTAGAGCTAATTCTACTGAAACAGCTCTTCTTAGGGTATCTGATGACCTTCTGACTCACAGTGATGCAGGGGACAGTTCTGTTCTGGTCCTGCTGGACCTGACTGCAGCCTTTGACACTGTTGACCATCACCTGCTACTGGAGAGGCTGAGGGACTGGGTAGGCCTATCAGGAATTGCTCTGGAGTGGTTCTCCTCTTATCTCTCTGAGCGCTCCTTTTCTGTGGCCTTCTCCAAGTTTAGGTCCTCCACCACCTCCCTTAATCATGGTGTCCCACAAGGTTCTGTGCTGGGGCCTCTGCTCTTCCTCCTCTATCTGCTTCCTCTTCAGCACATCCTGAGCTCCTTCAAAGAAATCTCCTACCATCTTTATGCAGATGACATCCAACTGTACGTCTCCTTTAAGCCCCATGAGATGTCTAAGCTGCAGCTGTTACAAACCTGCTTAGACTCTATCAAAACCTGGATGGCTGGGAGCTTTCTACAGCTGAATGAAGATAAGACTGAGATCCTCATCTGTGCCCCAGACAAGCTGGTTCCCAAAGTCAGAGACTCTCTTGGTCAGCTTGCTTCTCACACCAAACCTTCCATCAGGAATCTTGGCGTTACCCATCTGTCCTGTACTAGAATGTTTCACCAGTTTTTGTAATTTGTATTTTGTAATTTGAATTGCTTTTATTTTTGAATTGCTTTTATTTTTGATTCATTCAATATATTTGTACTTCTACTGTACCATGTTCAGCGCCTTGGGCTTCCTGACAGGGTTGCGGAAGGCGCTTTATAAATAAAGCTTTGATTGATTGATTGATCTTTGACCCAGCTCTCACCCTGGATTCTCATGTCAGCTCTCTTGTTCGCTCTTCCTTCTTCCATCTCAGGAACATTGCTAAGCTGAGTCCCATTCGGTCTTGCTCTGAACTTGAGACAGTTATCCACACCTTCATCTCCTCATGCTTAGACTACTGTAACTCTCTTTTCACGTGTATAACGGAATGAAATGACTGTTTTCCACCTAAAAGGCATTTCTCCCTTCTCCTCAGCAATAACTAATCTGCATGAGATATTGTTCAAGGTCTCATGCATTTGTTTCTAAACTGTTTTCCTTTCCAGCCCAAGAGAAGAATGAAGACAATGGAGTCTTTCTTTTTAATAAATCAAAGAACTCTATTTTTAATAAGCTAATCAAACAAAGTGTTAGTCAATAATAAAATATGAACCCATTTGTGAAATGAAAATATTAATTACTTGATATTATAACCCTACAGAATATAATAAGTAATATAACTTTAAATGTTTCCACCAGAGACTGATTACACGTAGCATTAAGACACATCACACATTGCTTTTACTGATCCAATCAGAATCTGCCAGATCTGATGGAGGTGTGGTTTTGGTGGTGCTTGGTAAATCTGTCATCTTTTCATTCGACCGTTAATCAAAACATCCAAATTATAAAACTTTGCCCACGTCATCTTTAACTCCAGTTCAAAGCGTTCTAGAGAAGTTGTCGGAGTGGCCAATCCATAACTTTCCTCTTCAGCCAAAAGAACCAACGACAAGCTGGATAAAATCTGTTGCTGTTCCACCTGCTGCAATGGTTCCTTTCAGAATAAAAGCTGAACCACCACAACCCCGTTTTGGGTCTTGCTAGATGCCAACAAAACTGTCATGACCCAGAAGTATCTCAAGACTGGTCTGGTCGGCAACCGCTGCTTTTCCTACCGGCTTCGGTTCCAGAGAGGGTCAAGCTGGACCTCGACATTCCTGATCTAACGGGGACTTCCGAACGGGTATGTAGGCCGACAGAATGGCGTCTCAATGTGTGTTATAAATCTCCAAATCAAAGCTTAGCACGAAGACATCACCTTGACTCCCATCAGAACTAATCGTTTCTGCGGATTTGCTGGTTCTGATCAACATTCCACACTACAACATTCTCCGTCTCAATTCACCTTAGTTACACCATACATTTAGTGTTTAAAGTTAGTCTAGTTTTAATTTGTTTAGTGATAAATCTTTAAACTTTTAAAACTTGACTCTCTTTCTTTTTTCTCTGAGTTAATACGAAGTTGTTACATAATCCCTGCAATAAAAAGTTCCAATCTTCTGGTTAAAAGTACCCAAAGATCCATAAGATTGATTTCATATTTGTTATGGAATCTCATGTCTTATGGTTCATTAAATAGATGTAAATTAAATTCTTACACGTGTCTGAGCAAAACCTCCCTGAACCGTCTAGGTGATTCAGAATGCCTGTGCTCAGCTTCTCACCAAGTCCTCCAAACACACCCACATCACCCCGCTTGTCCTCAATTTTCACTGGCTGCCAGCCAACTCCAGGGTTCATTTCAAGATCCTGGTTCTGGTCTATAGGACTTTAAATGGACAGGCACCATCTTACATTGGTGATCTAAGCCTGATTCATGCTTCTCCGTCTGCGTCAACGCTCTCCGGCAGGCCCGCAAGGACGGACGGTGTCGAGCTCTCTTTTCTAAACATCCGCCAGTCGAGACGGATAACGCAAGCTCGTGATTGGTCAGGACGCCGCTGCTGTCTACAGCGCCGCCATTGCGCCCTCAAAAACACAAAGAGAGCCGAGGATAACTAGCGGCAGACACAGAGCAGCTTGAAGAATACCTCATAAAAAACTCTAAAAACTTGAACGTTTAATTCCCCCGTGACTGGAGGAGTGAAAAGATGTGCAGCAAGCGTTTTATTTGTGGACGGAAATGACAGGAAACGTGGGTTTAGAGGTGGGGAGCGCATGAAGAGGTGGAGAATGAGAGACAAATTTGTTTGTGTTAAAAAGTCTCATATACAAAAAACATAATATAAACACACCATCTTGGACCGATACATGACAGGATACCACAGAGCAGCGCTGCGCCCTCTGTTGTCCTGCCGGGCAATTGCTTTGCAACACTCTCCAGGAGACGGAGAAGTATGAGAGCAAAACGCTTCCGTCTATCTGTGCGTGTCTGTCCCTTGCGGAGCTGACGGAGAAGCATGAACCAGGCTCTAGTCCCTACACCCCCAGCAGGTCCCTGAGGTCCAGTGATCAAAGCCTACTGGTTGTGCAGCGCACCAGGCTAAAGACCAAAGGTGACAGATCATCTGCTGCTGTGGCCTCCAGACTCTGGAACTCTCTCCCCCTGAGCCTGAGATCAGTGGACTCAGTGGTCTCCTTTAAAAAGCAGCTGAAGACTCACTTGTTCAAAGTGGCGTTGGTATGACCTTCTTCACCACTCTCTTTATTCTGCTCTCCCCACCTATTCCACCTTCATCAGGATCCACTGATTTCCCTCTTTCCTGTTCACTCTCTCTCTTTCTTAATATTTTTTAAATCACAATTGTCTATTTTTTGCTCATTTTAAATATGTGAGTACCTTCTTTTTTGCAGCTGTACAATTTATGAGCTGGTTGATTTGACAGTGTGTTTTACATATGAGCTGCCTTCCGGACATGGGAGACGTCCCGTGTTTAGCACAAGGGTGGAACGGTTCGGTTGAAATAGAGTTGAAATAGTCGAAACCGGGAGCCGCTACGCCGTGTCCTAGGTCCAGATGCACTGACCGGGCCAGTTTGGTTTGCAACATTAGCGGAAAGGCAGATCAGAATAACCACTGGGAAGGTTTTAATCAGGTCTGTATCGCGGGAGATACAGTCCGCCCCGCAAGTGAGAGGTCACTGCCGGTAGTAATAAGGTCGGAAGGCAGACTTGGAATTTATGAGAGATAATATGTGTGTGTGTGTCTTTGTTCATTTTCATCTGTCTAGTCTGTTTAGACTAGAGAAATTATCACATATATCAATTGTTGTATTTTAAAATGTCTTTATTTTGTTAAATTTACCGGCCTGCCTCTTCTGTTTTGGTTTGACTTTCTGCCAGAATTGACGCGGCTCACTCACGGCTCGTGAAAAATTTTGAGCTCACGGCAAAACGATTGTTGCATGGCACGAGCCTTCGACGCGCTTCCACAGCTGATGTGATCCAGGGGTCAGGCTCTGGTAGGGGGTGCCAGCAATAGCAGCTTGATTTCCTTAGCCTTGAAATGACTCATTCTGGAAAGTACTGAAAATGTCAAGAATGGAGCTGCTTACGTTGGGTTATGTGAGAGCGATGTTTTGCAATAAAACTTCATTAACATGTTAGAACAAAGAAATATCCTGACGTTGTTTAAAAATGTCATTAAAAGGCTCTTTTCAAAACAGAAACTAAAATAAAAAAAAGCCCAAGAACACAACTGGCTATATCTATTAAAGCAGTCAGATATTAAATACTTATCTTTAAAATTGTAGCACTCTCCTGCTTTGTCCACCATTGATACAATAACAAAAACCTCACGTTCAGTCAGCAATGAATCCTGGGATAGGTGGGTCAATAGCAATACCCCATACTTGTTTTTTAAATGGGAGATGATGGGTTTGTGTGCTGCATTTTAAGGCTTCTGACTTTGGACAGCCTTGTTGCTTGACTGTGACATAATCAGTTAAAATGTAGCCTTAAGGATGCAGTAGCAGTGCAGCCCCTGAATTAGAACAAAACCAGAAAGTGGAATGACTTAAAAGGTCCTCCCTTACCTCAATCTGGGTCCCACAGGCATTAAGGGGGATAACAGCGACTATGTGACTCTGGTTGGAGTGTGTCCTGAGGCTGCAGATGGTGTTGGAGGGGTCACTGAGTCGAAGGTGATCCTCTCTCAGTCCAAAGAAGGAAGATTTGGCAACCTCCACTTTCATTGAGGATTCTGTGCAGGTGACTTTGGCTTCAACTGGAACAAACATAGACAAAACAAGATGGAGTATCATGATAAGTATCTTCAAAAGAAATCTGCCATGTCCAATCCTAAATGTCTACTGCCGTCTGGTGGAGAGCCTGTAAGTGGCCAGGGCCTTTTTTAGTTCATTATTATGGAAATAACATTAGTTACGTTTTTAGAACTAGAGCTTTCATAACTTCCGGTTTCAGGGATTGGAACGTTTAAAAATCAAGTATGAATTAAGATTTTGTTGGAAAGTTTAAAATTGTTGTTTAAAATCAACGAATGAACCGACTCACTTTGCTCCTTCCTGATGTCCACTATAACACACCTCATTTCAGACTGATAGATGCTGGACCTGAAAATGCATCAGAACACATGGATTTATACTGTCATTCGTTATGTTGTTTTTAAATTAAAGCTCATAATTGAAGAGGAGCCAGACAAACTGTTACAGCTGAGTAGGAGAAACATAAGTCATGGATTGTGTGTGGAAGTGCTCCTGACCCTTAATTAGATGAGCCTCACCCTGATGACGCCTCCACAGCAAAGCAGATGGGGTAATGATCTCCCAGGTCATCAGGGACCGGCGTCCACTTGATGACAAACTCATCGCTGGTGATTCTGTGCTTGGTGATGTTTGTCGGCCCGCTCATGATGATGTTTTGGATTCTGTGTGGAAAACAAAAAAGACATGTTTCCACTGATGTTGTCTCCAAGCTTCCGAGCATCTGTATACCTCGTCCATCTAACTTACGATGAATATGTGGCCGTAGCTTTGACTCTGATCTCCAGCTCTTTGGTGACCTCTGCCTGGACGTGTTGTCCATTTGCAGGAGTTGGAGACTCAAACTTAGGCAAGTAGAGTCCCTCCTGGCATGAAGGAACCGGTGGGTCCACTGGAGATGAACATGAAACAAACATCCAAGATTCTAACTTTATCATTTAGCTGAGCGTCACTCTACATCAGGTGGTATCAGTACCGTGGTATTAGGAGTACCTTAATGTACTGTATGCATAAATACAGTACTGGACTGATACTGGATTCTGGTATGAAAGGCATACCTATTGTGTAGGTGATGTCTGGTTGCATAATACTTTGATTTGCATCCTACTGATCACTCTTTAATTATAAATGCACCCTTGTCTGAGTTCTCTATGGATGTAAATGAAGTCCAGAGGTTCCTTTCTAAACTCAGAGTAGAAGAAGATTTGTTTTTGCCTGTTTTTGCTGGCAGGTTTTGTCTAACGCTGTAGCCTTCCTCAGAGCACTGCAGATAAACGGAGAAGGAAGTAATGCCACCAACATCGGCAGCGCTCTGAGGAAGGCTACAGCTACAGTCGAAACTTGTCAGCAGGTAAAAACAAATCTTCTGCTACGCTGTTTAGAAAAGAATGAAAACAATGGAAGGATTACACAGAACGAATATCCAGAGAGCTGTCTATCTCCTGAGTCTACATCAGTATTAGGTAAGGACACAGCAACTTCATCTTCAACATAACATACAGAAAAATAATACTTTAGACTCAGTCAAATAAAAGGAGAATCCCTGGTTGATTCTTAAGCCCCTCCCACTTCATGTAAACGTTTTACTGATAAATGAATTACTTATTTAATATAGACACTGATTCACAAAGTTAATATCTGCTGTATGTTGACATATTAACTGTTGTAATGTTTCTCGCTGTAAATATATTTTTTACATGATTGCGTGATGGTGAGGGGGCGGGACATTCATATTTTCTCTGGTTCCAAAATACAAACATGGCTGCTTCTGTCTTCATTTATTTGTGCTTCCATCACATTTATCTACAGACCTTAGCTAGCACAGTCACGGCTTACAACTTACTTTATCATCCTCTTTATTTTTTATTTGATGCTCTGCTCCACTAAGTTTGAAATCCTCTGCTTCATTAATGCAGTGAAGTGGGAATTGAGTGGGTCCTTATTGCCTTATTATGAAACATCATCAGAAAAGCAATTAAACTCACCAAGAAAAGAAAACTGCAGTGGTAGTTTACTGAAGGGATCAGTGCTTCTGTCTGATGTTGCTGTAGTTGTAGGAATAGTTGTAGTTGGTGGAGTTGTAGTGGTCCACCCCCACCACCATGGTATTGTTGTAGGAGGTGCTGTAGTAGTTGTAGTTGTTGTACTTGTGGTGGTCCACCACCACCACCATGGTATTGTTGTAGGAGGTGCTGTAGTTGGTGGAGTTGTAGTGGTCCACCCCCACCACCATGGTATTGTTGTAGGAGGTGCTGTAGTAGTTGTAGTTGGTGGAGTTGTAGTTGGTGGAGTTGTAGTTGTAGTTGGTGTACTTGTGGTGGTCCACCACCACCACCATGGTATTGTTGTAGGAGGTGCTGTAGTTGGTGGAGTTGTAGTGGTCCACCCCCACCACCATGGTATTGTTGTAGGAGGTGCTGTAGTAGTTGTAGTTGGTGAAGTTGTAGTTGGTGGAGTTGTAGTTGTAGTTGGTGTACTTGTGGTGGTCCACCACCACCACCATGGTATTGTTGTAGGAGTTGTAGTGGTTGTTGCTGTAGTTCTTGTAGTTGGTGGGGTTGCAGTGTTCCACCACCACCACCATGGTAATGTTGTAGGAGTTGCTGTAGTAGTTGTAGTTGGTGGAGTTGTAGTTGTAGTTGGTGTACTTGTGGTGGTCCACCACCACCACCATGGTATTGTTGTAGAAGTTGTTGTAGTAGTTGTAGTTGGTCTAGTTGTTGTTGTACCAGTCAAACTTGTTGGTTGGGCACCAAACCACCACCACCATTGAGATGTTGTAGTAGTAGTCGTAGTTGTTGGTGTTGATGTACTAGTTATTTGCCATGGCCACGTTGGTGCAACTGTATTTGTTTTTGAGCTAATTGGAGGGGTCGTGGTAATTTGTCTTTTTCTTCTTGCAAGCAATGGATACTTCTGGATTCTTGAACCATCTGAGTAAAACAGGTTGACTGGATATTGTGAGAAGTCTTCCACCACCATCTCAAATCCAAAAGCGGCGTAGTGGCTGGTGGCGTATTGGTAGTGCAATGTGCAAGTATCCTGATGAGGTAATCAACAGTCATAAATAATAAGAGAAAAACTAAAGAATAATTACATGTCAAACATTGGTAGAAAAAAATTTCATCTAACCTCATCTAGTTGGAAGCCGCTGATTGACTGGCAGTTGTCACATTCTATGTTTGGGATATTCCCATACCGGCATCGGACTCTGTCACCATCTGGATCGAAGGATGGCAGCTTATATGCCCTTGGGCAGTTCTGAGGAACTCTTGATTAGATACCAAAATAAGTTAGAGCCATTTGTTTATAGTAAAACCATAGTGAAAATTTAATACTCTAATTCCAGTATAAAATACATAATGGACCAGGTTACTGGGACTGGATTAGCGGGATTCACACCAAAATATTAATAAAGTTTATTCTACGTGAAGGTTTTGGAAAAGCAGGTTTTATACTTAAGTTCAGACAGTTCCATGCAAACAGGTCAGTTACCTTATAAAAGGAAGAACAGCTATATCTGGTGATCTGTTGGGTTGCCCTGTGTCAGATCTTCTTCCCAAATCCACAAGAGTATTAAACCTCCAGTTACCAACATTGTTACGTGTTGCTATCCAGCAACAGCTAGCTGACCTAATATGTAAAAAGAACAAGACAATATTTGTATTCATTTAAAGTTTGATATCAAGCACTTTAATGATGTTCAATTATCTTATTTACCAGATAAATGACACCTGCTCACCTCAGCTGAACTGGTTTGTCACCAGGAAATTGCCACGTCTCAACATTCTCTGTTTCACACCACTGCCTGTTGTACATTGGTGCATTGGTGCTGCTGTCAATTTGATTGCTGGCTCTAGTGACTGGGTAGCCACAGTTGCCATCGTAACAGTACCAGTAGTGGTAGTAATAACAACCATCATAGGTTTCCCTGGCTCGGACGTCCACCTGTCACCACAAAATTCAATTCAATTCAATTCAAGTTTTTTTATAAAGCGCCAAATCACAACAAGAGTCGTCTCAAGGCACTTCACATGGTAAACATTCCAATACAGGTCAATTCATTAAGCCAATCAGAAAAAAAAGTTTCCTTTACAAGGAACCCAGCAAATTGCCAAGCAATGTTTCTATGGTTACATTGTGATTTCTTAGTAGATATTCTATTTGGCGAGAGATAAACTTTATTGTATTTATCATAGTGAATCTGTAATTAAATGGGTAAACTAGTAGTAGCACATTCAATGTCAAAGAGGGTAAAAAGTTATTATCAAGAGAGGGAGAATGTTTAAGTGGTAAGCAACAGTGTTCAAGATGATGGCCCCCTCCATGAGGCCACTACAGCTCAGCAGAACATCATTGTAGCTTCTTCTGGGGAGAAAAACACTTAGAGAAAAAAATAAAAATAGCTGAAATAGCAGGAAATAATACAGTTAAAGAGAAAATTGTAGAAGAAAGTAGTCGAATGTGGAAAGTGATCAGTGAAAGAAAGAATTTTGCTTTTTTACATGAGCATGTAAACATGTAGCAGCAAGATAATTAAATCGTTTTTGTTTTTACTTACTCCAGGAAGCTGGCCTCTTAATAGATAAACAACAACAAATTGGAAAAAACGCAAACCTCAGCTGATGTGGGTTTGGAGAGGGAAAAGCACCAGAAAATAATAGCACCTAGATAGATTACAGTTTTGTTCATTCCAGAATCATTTCCCAAAAAACTGAATGTTTTTGCCAAAAATCATGTTCGGGTTGTTGTTCAAAGAAAATGAAATAAATACAACTAATAAAGACTCGCAGTTGAAACACCATTTAATTTTTTTTCCTGGTTCTGTTTAAGTGTTCCTAATCAAAAGTTCCACAAAGCGGTCATCCATGTTTTTGTAATTACTTGAGGAAGTCAGCCTCTTATGAGAACAAAAACAAAACTGGAAAAACACAAATTATGTTACAGAACATGCGAATCAAGTACATCCTCGGATGTGGCCGTGTTGGGTTAGACAGATGCAACGTGTGAGTTTGCAGAATGTTGCTGAGATAAACTTTTTTCTGCTTTATTTGTTATTTTATTTTGATTAGCTTCAGTCCGTTAGATTTGTTCCGTAAACACCATGGTTCTAATGTGTCCTTACCCTTCAGACCCAGAGGGGTGACAGCAGCTTTACCATTGAGCTCTGCAGACTCCACCTTAATGGTGTCACACCTTTGTCGACCTATGTCCTTTCACATCCCCTCTCCCTCGTCTTCTCAGCACTTGTTTATTTCAGCTCCTCATGTGTCCTTGACCTTTTACACCTGTGTTCTCTTAGAAGTTGTCTCCCCCATTTTGGTTATCTTTCATCATCTACTCATGTTCTGTTTACCCTTCAGTTTAGCTGCTGTCCTTGTGTCCCTCGTGCCTTCCTGTTTCTCTTAAGTTTAGCCTTATGCTCTTCCATCCATCCATCCATTGTCTGAACCCGCTTTGTCCATGTAGGGTCGCGGGGGAGCTGGTGTCTATCTCCAGCAGTCAACGGGCAATCAGGTGGGGTACACCCTGGACAGAGAGCCAGTCCATTGCAGGGCAACACAGAGACACACAGGACAAACAATCATGCACACACACACTCACACCTAAGGACAATTTAGACAGACCAATCAACCTAACAGTCATGTTTTTGGACTGTGGGAGGAAGCCGGAGTACCCAGAGAGAACCCACGCATGCACAGGGAGAACATGCAAACTCCATGCAGAAAGACCCCAGGCCGGGAAGCGAACCCCGGACCTTCTTGGTGCAAGGCAACAGCTCTAACCGCTGCGACACTGAGCAGCCACCTTATGCTCGTCAGTTGCTCATTTCATCCTCAGTTGCAGCAACATGTAGCCACTACATCCTTCATTGTTCATCCCAGTCTTTCTAGTTTGGTTTTATTAGTTTCCATTTAATTGGATTCTGTTTTCCTTATTTAGCTTCTCCTGTTTACTGTTTATTTCTCAGTATCAGTAGTGTCCTCTTAACTTATTCTTTTGTCGGGTTCTCTTTCAGTCCTTTTGTGTTTTGTTATTGCCTCCCATCCCTCAGTTAACTAGTCACACCTGTATTCCATTATCTCAGTAATCATCACACCTGCCCCATTGTCATTGTGTTCACTCCCCTGTCTATTTAAACCCAGCTCAGTCCTCAACTTGGGTTTGTATCATTGTGTTTTTGTCATCATCCTGCTCAGACCTTAACAAACAAACAAACAAACAAACAAACAAACAAACAAACAAACTTTGCAGTTTGAACCTCGCCTGGCTGCTTTTTGGGATTACCACCTCACTTCACTGCTATTGAGTCCACATCAGCAATTCTTTTCTGTGACAATTTTATAATTATATTGATTACATGCCTTTTCTCATTTTGCATTAAGAAAATCTCAAATTTGAATATTAAAGACAAAAGAAACTTCACAAAACCAAGAGGGGGGTTAATAAAGCACAAAGACAGAAATGTTAAAAAATCTTAGAGGATTTCTTTTTTTAGCTCTCAGTCCCAAGATGATAAGTAGGCAGGTAAAATAGAAAATGAAGTTAAGAAAAATACAGATATTTACTTGAAGTTTATTTTGGAATGAATAAGTAAAACAAATTAAATGTTAAATTTATTTTATTAAACTGTTTTCTTCTCAGAACTAAATCCAGCATCTCAGTGAGACCAAATAAGTAAGTCAAATAAAATAAAATAGTTTCTTAAGATAGCAGCAGAATCAGTTATTTCTATTAAAAATCCTTCTACGTTCTTGTGAGAAACTAAAATATTAGGGGACTGTTTTACATAAATATCATATCCAGGCTCTTTTCATGTGTCGTTTGATGTGGAATGACCTACCAAGCACTACCAGAAGAGTCCTTGTTGACTATCAATAAACTCCTGAAGACCCAGCTCTTCAGAGAGCATCTTACCATACCACTTTATTTGTAAAGCGCTTTTAACACGGCATTACAACCGACCAAAGTGCTGCACATAAAAACAAATACATAAAAAACACAAGCTAAACTAGGACCACCCCTGCACAGGTCCCCTTCTCTACTGTCCACTCCTTGTTCACTTCCCTGATTCATCATGCTGCCTCACTGCCACCTAGGAATGACTGATTAGTAATGATGCAACGATATGAAGTTTTTGGGCCGATACCAATATTAATCTCACGGTCATGGCCTGTCACGCTGTGAGTTGGGGGAGGTTAGGACCCAAGATGCAGACCCAGGACGTCACAAGGCAGGCGTAGTGAAAACATAAAAATCCTTTATTTAGGGGTAAATCCAAAGGGCTGGAAGCCAAAAACCAAAAATCCAAGAATCAAAACCTGGGAATATCCAAACATACAAGAGACCTAGAGAAATTCCAAATACCTAGAGAGGGTGCGAGACAACGCTGACACAAACAATGGACCAACATCCACACTGATGCAGACAGGGTTATATACACAAGGGCTGGGTGAAAAGGGAATTGTGCACAAGTGAAACCAATAAACAGAGGAGGAGCACAACAGAGCAGGGGAGAAAACCACACCTAAAAATGGCGAAGGTAGCAAAATGAACTAGAGGACGAAAACAGACTAGATAAAACACTTGACAGAAAACTAAGGATAAAAGGTGTCTAAGGAAAAACATAAGGGAAACCTAAGCCCCCTTCAGACAGGCCATGAAAAACGGAAATGTTCCGGAATCTGTCCGTAAGACCTTTGTGTTTGAATACAAACATCCGAATAACGTGTTCCGGAATTTTACCAGACGAAGCCCCTAGTAACAGGTCCGGACATGTTACGGACATGGTAGCTGCTTCAGACTGGTGAGGTAAAGTTCCGGACAAGGGGGGGGGGGGCGCTGTGCGCACCTATATAAGTCGCTGCTGTAACATGCAGCGAACCACGGCAGCTCGCCTCCTACGGTACCGCCTAGACGCGCGACGGAGCGCTTCACACCGCTTCAGTGATTCCTTTAACCATTGAGCTTCATCATCCAGTAGTGATGGGAATTCCGGCTCTTTTTAGAGAGCTGGATCTTTGGCTCAGCTCACCAAAAAGAGCCGGCTCTTTCGGCTCCCAAGTGGCTCCTCAGATTTTCAGTTGCGTAGAGTACATTTATAACCAAAATAATGCAAAACTTTGTGTAAAATGATTTACTAATTTTAAAAAATGCTATATATCAAATATTTATAATTTCTATGGATTTAATAACTGAACACTTTCAGAAATCTCCACTTTCCGACTGCTGGCGCTCATTTTCTCACCGTCTTCATCACACTCTCCTCTCTCTCTCTCTCTCTCGCCATTTTCCTCCTCCTCATTCCCTCTCGTCTCCCTCCGCCCGCATGTGCTCTGCTGTGTGTCTGAGTCTTATCCTCCCTCTTCCCCACCCCTACTGCTCTGTGTGTGGACAGTCTGGACACGCAGTTACACATCTTGACCAATCACCTGTGGCTTTCACCAAAGCAAAAGGGGAGGGGGGGTAGGGGACGGCTCCCAATGACGAGCCGGCTCCCGTCGTTCACTTCAAAGAGCCGGCTCTTAGAGCCGGTTCGTTCGCGACCGACACATCACTATCATCCAGGTCTGCTATGCGTCTTCGTGTGCGCAGAATTATGCTTAAGCGCCTCGAGATTTTTATCTAGAGAGGCGCTATAGAAATGATATTTTCTTCTTCTTCTTAACATAAGTCCGATTCTCCCCCCCCACCCCCCACCCCCCGCCGCCGTCAGACATCTGGAACTTTTCCCTGCTGTGTGAACACAGCCGAAAGGACAAGTTCCGGTACAAAAGTGGTGTGTCTGAAAACACAGTTCCAGTTAAAAACCGGATTAATTGTCCGCAAATGTTCCAGAATGTCTGTCTGAAAAGTGCTCTAGAGAGCCTGGAGGGGGTTGGGAACACACAGGGACGCTGAAACCTGGGGGGAACACCTAAGGGGAAAAAACCTGGGGTGGCCTGGGGAACACAAGGAGACAAATGAGGAACACAAGGAGACACATGGGGGGGAGGGGGACAAAACAACACTGAGGCCCTGTCCACACGTAGCCAGGGATCTGCCAAAACGTAGATATTTTTCTACGTTTCGGCCTGTCATCCACACGAAAATGGAGTTTTTTCACACGAAAACTGATCTTTTTTAAAACTCCAGCCAAAGTGAAGATTTGCATTTTCTCCGTTTTGGGTGTCTGCGTGTGGACAGACAAAATCGGTGTTTTTAGGTTCGCAACATCACTTTCCGCAACAGAAAAATGCTGACATCACGTGTGCGACCTGTGTTTATACTAGCCGACAGCATGGATGCCCTCAGAGCTGTGCTCGCTTTATCAATTGTCCAAGCGCTTTTTGCTTGTTTGTTTTTGTAAGCGGAATTACTGCTCCTTGCGGAAGACCACAGACGAAGGACGAGGTTAAGAACGGGGGAAGTACTGCCGCCTACAGGTCTGGCATGTCCTTAACAACGTATTTATCCGGGTACGTGTGGACAGAGTTTTTTTTTTTAATTAGGTGGTGTGGATGCAAGTTTTTGGAGGGGCAAATATTCGTTTTTTTTTTAAAACCGGCTACGTGTGGACTAGGCCTGAGAGACACAGACAGGGTTATATACACAGAGGGGAGCAATCAGGGAAACAGGTAGCAGGTGTGTGGGGAGTGTGAGCTGAAGGGATCAGGAGCGATTAATTAACTAAATGGGAAAGGAACACATTGTTACAGGAAAAGGCTGACTGGAAAAAATAACTATACAGAGAACTAAAGATAAGAGAATTAATAAACCTGAAAACTATATACCAGAAAAAACACTAAATCTTCTGTTTAGGGAACTAAAGAGACAGGGACCTAAGAGAGGGGATCTATGGGGAGACTAGACTAACTTGGGTATAAAGTGACCAGGGGGAAACATGAGGGAAACCTGGACCAAAGGGACACAGAACCAGAGGGGACACCTGGAGGGAGAACCTGGAGAGGGATGCAGACAAGGAGACACATGAGGAACACAAGGAGACACATGAGGAACACAAGGAGACACATGAGGAACACAAGGAGACACATGAGGGAGACGCAGACCATGACAACAATTTATTTCTACTCAGTAACGGATATGATTTAAAATGTAGTGAATTACAATTCTTTTTAAAAAACATACTCAAGTAAACGTGAAAGTACAGATTTTCAAAACTACTTCAAAAGGATGCCCATCGGTACACTTGGTACCAGGGCAGCTTAGGTCGCAGGTGGATGATAGACTTTGTAGTCGTATCATCTGACCTGCGGCCGTATGTTTTGGACAACCGAGTGAAGAGAGGAGCGGAGCTGTCAACTGATCACCACCTGGTGGTGAGTTGGATCAGATGGCAGGGGATGATGCTGCGTAGACCTGGCAGACCCAAACGCATAGTGAGGGTCTGCTGGGGACGCCTGGCAGAAAAACCTGTCAAGACGGTCTTCAACTCCGACCTCCGGCAGAGATTTGACCGCGTCCCGAGAGCAATGGGGGACATTGACTCCGAGTGGGCCTTGTTCCACTCTGCGATTGTTGAGGCGGCTGTTGCTAGCTGTGGTCGCAAGGTGGCCGGTGCCAGTCGTGGTGGCAACCCCCGTACCCACTGGTGGACACCAGAGGTTCGGGGAGCCGTCAGGCTGAAGAAGGAGGCCTACAGGGCGTGGCTGGTCTGTGGGTTTCCGGAGGCAGCAGACAGGTACCGGATAGCAGAGCGGGGTGCAGCAGTGGCAGTTGCCGAGGCAAAATCTCGAGCGTGGGAGGAGTTTGGTGAGGCCATGGAGAAAGACTATCGATCGGCTCCAAAGAGGTTCTGGCAAACTGTCCGGCGCCTCAGGAGAGGAAGGCAGCAACTCGCTCACACTGTTTACAGTGGGGATGGGGAGCTGCTGACGTCAACTGGGGCTATAGTTGGATGGTGGAAGGAATAGTTTGAGAAGCTCCTCAATCCCACCTGCACACATTCCGAGGAGGAACCAGAGCCGGTAGACCTGGGGATGGACTCTCCAATCTCGGGGGCAGAAGTTGCTGAGGTAGTCAAACAACTACACAGCAGCGGAGCCCCGGGGGCAGATGAGATTCGTCCTGGGTATCTCAAAGCTATGGATGTTGTAGGGCTGTCGTGGTTGACACATCTCTGCAACATTGCGTGGTCATCGGGGGCAGTTCCTGTGGAGTGGCAGACCGGGCTGGTGGTCCCCATCTTTAAGAAGGGTGACCTGAGGGTGTGTTCCAACTATAGGGGATCACACTCCTCAGCCTCCCTGGAAAGGTCTACTCCAAGGTACTGGAGAGGAGGGTCCGATCGATAGTTAAATCTCAGATTGAGGAAGAGCAATGTGGTTTTCGGCCTGGCCGTGGAACTGTGGACCAGCTCTATACCCTTGCAAGGGTGATGGAGAGGGCATGGGAGTTTACCCAATCAATCCACATGTGCTTTGTGGATTTGGAGAAGGCTTATGACCGTGTCCTCAGGGGCACCCTATGGGGGACGCTCCAGGAGTATGGGGTGGGTGGCCTTTTATTAAGGACCATTCAGGATCCTTTACCAGAGGAGCGTGAGTTTAGTCCGCATAGCCGGTAGTAAGTCGGACCTGTTCCCGGTGAGGGTTGGACTCCGCCAGGGCTGCCCTTTGCACCAGTTCTGTTCATTACCTTTATGGACAGAATTTCTAGGTGCAGCCGTGGTGTGGAGTGTGTCGAGTTTGGTGGCAGGCGAATCTCGTCTCTGCTTTTTGTGGATGATGTGGTCTTCCTAGCTTCATCCAGCTCTGACCTTCAGCTCTTGCTGGGTAGGTTCGCGGCCGAGTGTGAAGCGGCTGGGATGAGGATGAGCACCTCCAAATCTGAGACCATGGTTCTTGACCGGAAAAGGGTGGCTTGCCAACTCTGGGTCGGGAGAAAGGTCCTACCTCAAGTGGAGGAGTTTAAGTATCTCGGGGTCTTGTTCACGAGTGAGGGTAGGAGGGATCGGGAGATCGACAGGCGGATTGGTTCGGCGTCTGCAGTGATGCGGACGCTGATCCGATCTGTCGTGGTGAAGAGGGAGCTGAGCCAGAAAGCCAAGCTCTCGATTTACCGGTCGATCTACGTCCCAATCCTCACCTATGGTCATGAGCTTTGGGTAATGACCGAAAGAACGAGATTGCGGATACAAGTGGCCAAAATGAGTTTCCTCCGTAGGGTGGCCGGGCTCAGCCTTAGAGATAGGGTGAGGAGCTCAGACATTCGGGAGGGACTCGGAGTAGAACCGCTGCTCCTCCGGATCGAAAGGAGTCAGATGAGGTGGTTTGGGCATCTGGTCAGGATGCCTCCTGGACGCCTCCCTGGGGAGGTTTTTTGGGCATGTCCTGTCGGCAGGAGGCCCCCGGGTTGACTCAGGACACATTGGAGAGGTTACATCTCCAATATGGTCCGGGAACGCCTTGGGATCCTGCCGGAGGAGCTTGTGGAGGTGGCCGGGGAGAGGACAGTCTGGAGCTCCCTAGATGGGATACTGCCCCCGCGACCCGGACCCAGATAAGCGGAGGAAGACGACGACGACTTCAAAAGTATGAATACACAAAAAACTACTCAATTACAGTAACGTGAGTAAATGTAATTCATTACTTTCCACTTCTGCACATGACTAAACAAATACACATCACACCCCTCACCCTCTGAAACAGGCAAACAAATAGAGACAAGATGGAAAAAATATCGGTTGTTAATATCAGCCCGGCTTTATTTATTGGACCGATTCCGATATGTTAAAAAATGTCTAACATCGGCCGATACCAATATTAATGCCAATATATTGTCCTTCCCTACTGATAACTGTTTGTTGTTAGCCTCAAGGGCAACCTGCTGGCTTCATTATCACTTGTAAGTCACTTTGGACAAAAGTCAATTACATAAACATAAATGAAAGGGAACATTTTATCTGTAGAAATATTGCTTTATGCAAAGTAATTTTACACTGACAATACAGTATAAGACTGCCTAGAAGAGCATTGAAGTTGTGGTGGTGTTACAGCGACACAGGCTTAAGTTTGTAAACTAAATAATGTTAATCTCACCTTAAAGGATCCATCGGGATTTGTTCCCTTGTAGGTGAAGGTCATGCTTCCTCCGTAGTGATGAGACGCCGTCACCAGTGAGGACAGAAGGAGCAGCTGGAGCAGGAACAGCACTGTGGAGGCCATGATGATGCTTCCGATTCAACTCTGTCTCTGTCTCACAACCACCTGCAGCATCTTATATACGCCTGTTGAACAGGTGGTGACACCTGTGCTCAGTTTAATGGAATGTACGCCTTGCTTCAGAACAATAAGGCAGCAGCAAAACTGGTTTCTGAAAAAAAGGATTAGAAGAATTTTTTTGTAAACGGAACTGAAATGATGAAAAAAGAAACCAGAAGTTAAAGACATTTATTTACTGTCAGCTCTGGTTTTGAGCTCAGATTCTTCTGTCCCCGCTTCCTCCTTTCGAGTGTTAAAACTAAATACTGTTTGGAAACATTTTGTGATTTTAGTTTGCTGGTTTAAGGTTAATGAAAGAGAACCAGATTAAATACAGAAAACAACATCTAGGTTTTAGTGTAAGCTTTGGTGTGTGACCTTAATGCAGGTGTGAGATGGTACTCAGAACAACACACCTTGTTGTTTTAAACTCCCAGCCCAGAATAACAGCATAGTTGTAAGTTTTGTCTTTATTTACAGTAATGTGTTCTTTTAAGCCTGCTAATAGTTTATTGATTAATTATGTTTTTTGTTCACCATGAAAAATAACAGAGCAGAGGTCAAGCAACTAACTGCAAATATTAAAAAGAAAACTTCAAACAACGACACTTATTCTGAGTCTGCAAAACACTTGAATAAAAAGATCAAAACACGCTTGCAACGAGTCCAGGTCAACAGAGGTAACACCTTGATATGCAGGTCTAAAGCATAATGAACACTCATGATGAATGTGGTTTCCTATTTGAGCGTTCTGGACACACAATCACAACAAAACTCGACTACAGCAGGGTCTATCAAAAGTTCACTCCAGTCACCTCAAGTGTTCCCCAAGGTTCTGTCCTAGGGTCTCTTCTGTTTAAAATGTATCTCCTTCCACTGAGCAAAATTTTAAATACATTTTATGTAATTTTCATTGCTACACAGATGACACCCAGCTTTACTTTTCCACGAAGCCCGCCTCCTCACTCCTTACGAAATTTCTCTCCGAATATCTCCAGGAACCGGGCCGTCATTCATCAAACGTTTGTAGAAATATTCCTAAATAACGTGATGGTGGCGCGCGCAGGTGCAGCGGCTCTAAGCTCGCCAGTTTGGTGCTTGTTTTTATTGTTTTTATTGTTGCTATGTGAATCCACTAACTTTTGCAACGTCGTAGTCTCCTACAGTCGACAGGACTTAATCAATGTGGATCTCAGATACAGTTTGTGTGTCTCGGACGACTATCATCGGACACACAACATCCAGGAGGATATAGCAAGACCGGCGGGGTCTCCGTGGATTGTCTGTCTGCCCTGTGGGCGAAGAAGGAGGCGGAGGGAGAGAAAGCAAAAGAGGGGATGCAGGGCTGGCTCAGAAGCTAGGCTACGTAAACAACCGCATCGGCCAGCACTACCAAGCCTCTTTCTGTCCAACGCCAGATCCATTATCCAGAAAATGGACGAGTTGGAGCTACGGATTGCCACCACGAGTTTTACACGAAACTGCAGCATTATCTTTATTACGGAGTCATGGCTTCATCCGATGATCCCCAATGCTGCAGTCGAGCTGGCAGGCCGCACGCTGCACCGGCATGACCGTAACAGTGGCCGTGTTCGAGTTTAGCTGCGCCTCGCCTGGAAAACAGACAAGAGCAGACGGACGCAGCAGTCTTAAGAACATCATAAAAATGGGGAGCAAAAAAATTGTGATTACAAAAAACACGACAACATTCCATAATGTCAGATTCCCGTTGGGTGTTTTAGCGTCAGTTAAGTGACTCAGCTGTTTTTCTACAGAAATATTTATTGGGTAAAATTATTTGTGGTGTTGCGGTTCCCTCATTCCACCATTAGATGCTGTTCCTACGCATGGTCTGAAGTTTTCTTATGTTGAGGAACATTTCCACGCACAGGTACAAAATGATGAATGCCACACAATACGTAAATTAGTTCCTACGCACGAAATACAGACAGGTCTGTGCGTAAATACGGTTGATATGCTTAGTATGAGGATTGCTGTAGGGACTCTGACACTAGTCAGTGACTTGATGCAACCTGCTGGGTTCCTTATAGGAAACTTTTTACTGACTGGCTTAATGACCTGGGGCCTCATTTATCAAGCTTGCTTACGCACATAACGGGGTCGGAAAACTGCGTAAGCAACTTTCCATGCAAACTTTAGGATTTATGAAAGAAACTTAGCGGAAAAATGTGCGCAACTTTAAGTTGACTAAGGACCTGGCTTACGCACATTTTGGACATGGAGAGCACCTGCAGTGCTGCTGCTGAGAAGGATAAAATTATGAAATCCTGCAGCATTACCACTTGTACCGCTTCATTTTCACACAGAACAAGACCCCTCACACGCACACACACACCCATGCGTGCGCACTCACACTCAGCCTGAAGCGTAGAATTCGAAATGCAGAATATCAGCAGGGGGACAGATTGAGACAGAATGTCATGCGTCTGTGACAGTGTGTGTGTCCTGTCACTGTGAGCCGATTGATCATGCACCCTGGCTACTTGGTCAGGGGAGATCTTCGTTTGGCTGACTCGTTAGCGTGCGTGACTTTCACCTGGGAGTCTGGGGATTGAATCCTGATTGGACCAATTTTTCATATCCGCCACAGATCTCTCTGAAGAACTCACAACATTGACGGCTTCAGCAACGCTGTGCCACTCCACTCCGTGGATTTTCTCTTGTTTTGCAAAAGCACTTCCTTTCATTTCTCCACCTCACCCACAGGTACCTCAACTTCTGCTTCTGTGAAATTGCGCTTCCTTGATCTGCCTTGATCTACGGTCGCCATGTAATTGGCGGAGCGCTGCAACAGCCGGTATATGTATATGCATGAGATCCACAAGGCACTTTGCATTGACCATTTATGGCAGTAAGTGGGCATGGTGAGGGCGGGATGTGACTAAAAAGCAGCTGAGAAACATTCTAGATTGTTTCTGATTTATGAAGCGGAGACTGCGTGCAACTGTGCGTACTCCATGTTTGATAGGTCACAAACCTGCTTGGTGTAAGTACATTTTTTTGCTGATCTTAAGTACGGTTTTAGTAAGGATTCTACGCAATGTTTGATAAATGAGACCCCCGTACTAGAATGTTTACTGTGAAGTGCCTTGAGACGACTTGTCGTGATTTGGCGCTAAATAAATAAACTGAACTGAATTTAAATGAGGCCCCTGAAGTAAAGCTTTAAAACTCACCTGAATTTCTGACAAAAGGCAAGTAAAATTCTTCGTGCTGAGTCACTGTTGTATCTGAGGCATTCCTAAAATACTCAAGGGTGTGTTTAAGGAGAAGCCTCAGGGTTTGTTTTCTTTATTTGAATTGAATGGTGTTATAGGAAGATCTCTTTAACAATCCAAGCTAGACCAGGGCCTTCGTTTATCAAATATTCGTAGAAAATGTCCGAAAATCCATACTATGAATTAAATTTAGAATGTTTGTTCGAACGATCAAAATCCTGATTTATGAAACATGCGGCGGCCTTTCGTACCAGTTTCGTACGCACGTTCACACCAACGACAAGGGAGAGGATAGTGGACTTATGTGACTTCTCTGACGTGCTGAAGGAGGAAGCTGGGAGCGTGTGTTCTGGTGAACCGCCGAAGCAGCGGCCTGTCGGGTCCTCAGCGGTACCGTGAGTAAACAGCTGATCAACGCAGCGTTTGCTGCAGCTGCTGTATACTGAACCTAAAATGATAATCCTAGTTATTTTTTTGTATTTTTTGCCGAGTGGATTATGGACGTACATTTTTCTTTTGGTCTTTTTTTGAACTGAACTGAACTGAATTTATCTGAACTAAACCGAACCGAACGTGACTCTCAGACCTTTCCATTAATTGTTATATATGTTGTGGAAAAAGATCTGCTTTAATACACACCCGCTTTTGCCTTATGATTATGTGATCATTTGGGTTTGTTTGTTTCAGTCCAGGTTAGGGTGATAAACACTGCAAATTGTTTACATCCTTTGTGTTGTGAAGTCGGTGAGTGTTACAAGGGAAAATTGTTGATAATTGTATTTATTTCTTATATGTCAGGAGAGAGACCCGGCTGGCACGCCGATTAGATCCCTTAGTTACACCTGCTTCCGTCACAACTTATATATTTAATTTAACAAATATATGCACAATTTAAAAAGTTAAAGGCTTGTTACTTATACGTATAAAATATAACGTAGGCCTTGTTTGAGTTGAGCAGCGCCTCGCCTGGAAAACAGACGAGAGCAGACGGACCCAGCAGGGGGAGTGGCTGAAAGCCGGCGTTTAAGTCGGACAGATTTCCCTACATGTGTGGCTCGCGGGTGACGATGGATGAAGATATCGCGTTAGCGTTCACACTTGTTTAATTCTTTATTTTAATGCTGGTGCCTGTTAGCAACTGAAACACATCCTCACATGCTTGTGGATATCATATATTGTATATGGAGACCTGACTGTAATAATAAGTAAAGGTTATCAGCTGTAGCTTCAGTGTGCTCATAGGAAACGTGACAAAAGAACACAAATCACATTTCTCTTTATGGCCTATATAGTTGTCATCAATGTTACATGATTTACAGAATACATGTGACCAACTAACATTTTGCTTTCTACCGCCGGATGTTTGGATCAGAATGTGAACCAATCAGATCTTAGCATAGGCGTCATTTTAACCGGGGACGCCGGGGACATGTCCCCGGCAAAATTTGTGATTGGCAGCTGTGTCCCCCCCACTTTCAAAAAATCCTGCTGATGAGGATTTTTGTTTTACCAGCTCAGATCTCATACCAGGGGTCGGCAACCTGTTCCCATCAAAGAGCCATTATTACCCGTTTCCCACAGTAAAGAAAACACTGGGAGCCACAGCAGTGCAGCGTTGTGGGCGGGGCCTACCCTCAGACAGCAGAGAGCTGCTCACAACCAGGTGACAGGCAGCAGCCGGTACCATGGGCGTCACACCCGTGGGGGATGCAACACCCACACTTTTCCAGCTGTTTTGCTCACCTCCACTCCAGTCTGGTTTCTTTAGGTCGCACTCACTCTGTTTGCCTCATCTCCTTCTTCACCTCCCCTATTCTGACAGCCGATGTCGGGTTCAAGGAGAGCAGGAGAGGGAGGGACGGAAGAGCTCGACTGAATTCATAATTTTACATCTTGACATTAGCTGTAAAAAGTCTGAGTTTGATCAAGTGAAGAACAATAATTTGCAGAGGTTTATAACAGGCACAGCGCCAGGTTTTCACTTTTGGGTGGGCCACGGTAATTTTGGACGGACCTTAATAAGCAGAGACTTAAGTGAAGCAGGCAGGTCGCGCTAGAAAATTTTGTTTAAAAAGACGTCATAAATGTGTTCCCCCGTCATTTTTATTTCTAAAATATGAAGTAAAAACTCCCAATTTAATTTTCATTCATTTGTCATTAATATGTAGTCTACACCCGTGCGTTAAGTGGACCATTTTCCAGTAAAAGCAAAGCATCCGGCCCACCTCTCCAAATGCGTAAAATGTGCATCACAGCCACTAGGCGCACCGCGCGCATCGTCAGCTGTCAGCCCAGACAAGAGCAGAGCAACTAGAGAAAGAATAGAGGATAATTGTGTCTGGATGTGGATGGAGATTACATTTTACAGCAGCCTGATCATCATTTAAATACATAAACCATCACCTGTCTTCTAGTCCACGCTATCAGCATTATTTTAATTGGTGTGTGTGTGTGTGTGTTTGTGTGTTTTCCACTTCAAACACTGGTCTAACCAACCAGACCAGCATGTCCAGTAACATATTAATGTTACAATTAAACAATTTCACTTCATGTAGGCTAGGAACATTTCACCTGCCGTGGCCCGACCGCTTCTGCTCCACATGAACTTTGTGCGTGATCAAATATCTCTACAGGTGTTTTATGAGCTGAAGAGGCGACTGGATGCATCATGCGTCTCCGTATTGGAGACGGGAACAAGCGCTATTCAGCCAAACTTTCATAATTTCATAAAAATAACATTTTTCCAAGTGACACATCCCTCAGAGAGACCGGGTTTCCAGACCGCTTCAGTTGGAGGAAATGAACGAACATCCTTGAGTTTATCCATCAAAATAAACAGTCAAATGGAAATATCTGTAACCTGTCATTTAACTCTTTTGCCTTCTTGTGAAGATTGTTGCAAAGAGAAACAACTAAACCTGATTAACCCCAGAGTCACGCGCACTGCGCTGTAGTCCGTGACTGTAAATGAGGGGGAAACGATTTAATCGGATCATTTTCTTTTCAACATGGTTTAATGTAAAGTTTCATTCAGTACAAACTTTAGTTACACCGATCTAACGAGACAGATCCTGGATTTGTATTCTGAACAGTTTAAACATGTTTAAAACGGAGACATGCGTGGCGCGTCTAAAATTCGCACCTGCTCCGCTATTATGGAAATTAAAATAACAAGATGAATAGCATAATTATTTTAGGCACAGACAACATCCCCCACACTTTTGAAAAGCTTGCAACGCGCCTGGTCGCTCGTGTACGTCAAAGTTATCTTTCATAAAAAGATAATCAATAAAACGATTAAATAAAGTGGATCCAGAAGCTGTAGCCCGTCTCTGCCTTCAATAATATTTTACTGAGCAGGTGCCACTTTTGTCACACGCTTCTTTTTAAAACATGTTTAGACTGTTCAGAATACAAATCCAGGCTCTGTCACGTTTGATTGTTGTAATTAAACTTTGTAGGTGGGGAAGGTCAGAAAGCAGCTCAGAAGCGCATATGATTACGCACAAGCGTGACGCGTCAACCCGGTCTCACAGTAAGACCGGGTTGGAACTGTTCAGGTTTACGCAGACAATCTTTACATTTAGAATTGGCATACAGATGTAAAATTAATGCAGTAAAATATAAAGCATTTTATTTAAATATCCATTCATTATTTTATAAGCACAGAGAGCCGCATCAGATGGATGGAGGAGCCGCATGCGGCTCCAGAGCCGCAGATGGCCGACCCCTGTGCTAGCCTACTTTATTGTCCCCAGCAATTTTTAAGCCCCACTCAAGTGTATGGTTATTGTCCCCAGCAATTCTGACAACAAACTGACGCCCTTGGATCTTAGATCAGGTGAGAGCCAGGCATTTCCTGTCATGCCCTATGTTTTGCAGCCGAGGGAGAGCAAATGCAGCACCTTGCTCCAAAATCTGCGGCCGCCTTTGATCTCACAAGGTTATCAGTGCCTACGTATGCATGACGTCAGAGCAAGTCGGCGTCAAGTGGGACACAAATCTAACCCATCTAATCTCCTGTATCATGTGACGTTATGTGACCGTCGTGGAAGCCACTGTCACGTGATGCAAGACTGTTCCATTTAACCGTTTTCTTTGACCAAGGAAGGACAGTGTCCTGTAAGCAAGGCACCTGGCCTCGCAAGACATCGCCTCGCAAGGTCAAGCGCCTTGACATTGAGAAACACCCACAGTGTCAGATTCCTGTCGGTCACGTGTGGGTTTTATTCGTTTTAGCACCAATTATGCGAAAAAGTCTACCACTGGAAGGTTATTAGGCCTTATTACTGAAACAACTAAAACATCAGGCTGTAATTGTGGTTTCATGTAATCTAATTTAACACAGTTTATGTAAGTGGAAGCACACCTGATTTAAAATGAATGGTAATTAAAATAATTCCACAGACCATAATAACCTGCTGCTGCTTGTTACCGGTTCCAGCACATGTAAAATGTGCAGGGAACAGCTCCAGCTGTAAAGATCAGGAAGCATTGATGACTCAAGACTAAATAATCAACACAGATCTGTCAAGAATTACTAAAATTATATTCTAAACTTAGTTAACTAAGTCAACATGTAATAAAGAACACTAACGAAAGCATGTTTTACCGTGAATTAAGCAGCAAGGAACTCTTTCAGCAGGAAACAGAAAACTATAACTTCAAGGGTTGTCCTTCATCTGAATGAATCAAATCGGCTCAGTATTAAATACACCACGGATTGTCAAATGTTTAACAAGTTACAATAAAGCTGTATTAATTAACATTTAAGATCGCAATCTACTTCCTCGTCCACCCTGGGACTTTCCACCCAGTTATACAAACAATGAAATTTTTTCCTTCCGCCTTTTAGCTACATAAAGATAAAATGTCAAATAAAAACAAATTTCAGATGTTAACTCTATCAGTTAAATTAAAACTAATGTTTATTGTGTTCTGAACAGATTCAAGGTTACACCATGACCGTTTCCCAGTAACCAAACAACAGTTGTAAAAAAAAAAAAACTGGATCTCACTAAACTTCAACCGTTTCCCAAAATGTCTCAAAGCTTTTTTTAACTTCTCTATTTCCTGGTGTGGATATCAGGGCCTACAGTACATACACAACAGCTTTTGGTGAGATTATCTCATTATCATTCAATTACTCCAAAGGGGTGAAACCAAAGTGCTGAACACAACAAGGAAGAAAAAGAGCATTTTTATAAACATTTTCTATGTTGGAAATCAGTAAAAAAAAAAAAAAAAAAAAAAAAAAAAAAAAGATCCAGAGCCATTCAAAAACGACCTACTGATGTGGTGGTGGTTCTGTAGTGTTTTTATCAGGATTGAGATGACAGAAACACTGGAATCAAAACAATATAAGATCGGTTTAAACAGACAGCTGGAATGATATGGAGGACTGGTGTCTTACAATGAAGAAAATAGACTAGAAATTATTAGAAAAAGCTGTAATCCCGTTTAAAGAAGCAGCTGTTGTAAAGCTATGTTTTTACAGTGTGAACCATAAAAATGTAGTTATTCATTGATGTGAGGAGTGATCCGTTCCTTTGATCGTTAACAAAGAGTCTCAAACACACACACACGTGTAACTCAACATCTGGAGGTTAAAACAGTTTATTACTACTGCTATTTCCATCATTAATTTTACAGGCAGTTTATTCAGAACTGAAACTAGAACAGTGAAACATTACAATAAACAAATGCAATATTGCAGAAAAATGAGAATTAATTACTTTCTACATAAAAAAAGCATATTTGTTTCTTTTATAGGATAAAATGTCAGGTTCAGCTTGATGACTGTGATTTGTAGACTTGAACATTAAGCTAATAACAAATCAGAAGGTCATGTTAGGTGCTGAAGATTTGTGAGGCATTAAGTCTTTCTACCTCTGACATTTAGAACATTTTTGTTCACTTTCATCGCCTCATTTATCTCCTCCATCTGCACTTCTTTTCACACGTCTGCTTCTCGTATCCAGTCAGTACATTTTGGTTTCTTTTTAATTTTGTGGTGTCATGGAGCACTTATTCAGCAAATCATTTTTAACACATCATGGTACAACTTGAAGGACAGTGAGACAGAGTAAATCTTCCATGTTTCTTTCTGGAAATGTCTATAAATATTTAGCTTCAAATTTTGTTTCAGATTTAGAATCTCAATCAGATGAACAGGCTGCTGATGGATGGGACCCACCCAGCATGCATGACCCAAGGCTGGACAGTCCTGATCATGAAAATCCTTCAGAAACTAACAATACCATTCAACTACTGGCCAGTCCCAGGGGACGAGAACAAGAGAAAGAAGCTGGAGAAGTACCGAGCGCTGAGAGAGGAACCGGAGACGTTGTAGAAAGTTGAGGTCCCGGTAGCACCAGAGTAAGAAAGAAAGAAAGAAAGAAAGCACCTTTCAAGATAAAAATCACGAGGCACTTCACAAAAAATAAAAAGCCATCAAAGCCCTTAGATCTGTGACCCAAAACTGGGAGAGTGGCTCCAACTGCCTGTTATTTAATGTGTATGATGTTTTACTAATCCAAGTTGGGATTATTTTTCATGACAAACAGAAATCCACTGACTTTAAACTCATGACTGTTTACCGCTGTAGTTGTGAGTTTTGTTAGTCACTGCTCCAGGACACCATCATACGTATAAACAAAGTTTTTGTGCAAGGCAGCTTTAATTATATGGCACATTTCCTACACAAAAGCAATTCAATGTGCAATGATCACAAAGCCTTTAATTCTAATTTATCCCCATTGACAGTTTGGCTCAGCAACTTTCACTGGCATCCACCTGATTACATTACTAAAGCTCGTAAAAATAGAAGCGGTCATGAGACAAAGACTCAGCTAGACCGGCAGGACTGGATTGTGTCAAAAACAAAACCAACATTTCTGCTTATTTATAAAACCACTAAAGCTTCTATTATTAAAAAATATAGTTTAGCGCCAACAATGTCTCTGAATATGCTGCCAAGCTGAGTTGTCAGGGCTGAAGGGCCATGTGCAAAAACATCTTTACTGTAAAGCAGCTTAAATGAAGCCATCATTTAAAATAAAGCTCAGATTTAAATAAAAACTGATCAAACTTCAACCACAAGACTCCAAACAATCACCCAATTCTTCTGAAGAAACTCAGGGAAAACAGAGAAATTCCTTTTCATTCCTGAATCTACTATCCTTGAAACGACTTGAAACACCAAGACTGGAAAATTTGACTCCTTCTGATTGCAAAACTTCTACTTTCCATAATATCTTATTTGTGAGCATCCAGCATTTTACACATTTTTATTTGGCAAATTTTATTCTCATTTAATAATCCTTTCTAATAAATAGCTAATATTTTGCTTGGGATTTGAACTGATCAATAAATTCACGATACGCTTAAATCTGGTCCCTAAAAACAACCCCATGTTGATTAGGCGGGAAAGATTTGATGAGGGCAAGGAATCCAGCCAGGTTCAAGGAAGTACGCAGAAACATTTTAATAGTGTCATTAATAGAAGGAAGCGGCAGACCTCCTTATGTCTTAATGGAGAAACGATGACGTGAGCAACATCCGGGGAGATACCGGAACCAGCGCATACCCATTGGTTTACATGGGGAGGTTTTGTTGCAGTTTATTTGAACATTTGAAGTAAATTAAAAAATTAATAATTTATCCCTGAAAAATGTACTTGCAAGGCTGGGGAAGATGTTGCACTGTTCGCAGTTGTACTAACAACCAGAGAAAATAAAGTTGTGGCTATAAGAGCGATGTTTAAACCCTGTAAGTGTTCTGAGTAAGAGAACGTGTGGCTGCCAGCGTCTACAGTTTTTATCGCCTCCCCAGAGATAAGGAACCCAGAAGGATGTGGGTGAAAAATCCTAACTTGAAAACCACCACAAACTTTATTTGTGCATTCGAAAAAGCCAGAGAGGAACACCTGCATCCTACTTCGTTGCTGAATATGACAAACCTCCAGAGAAAAGAAGTTGCTACCATTTTTTGTGCAAAACCTGATGGGACGTAGGAATAACGTGGATAACTCAAATGTATTTATATTCAGGATAGCCGCTTCTGTGTTTGTGTGAAAACCTCGGAGACTCCGGTTGTTTCTATTTGTTCACTTTGGTTCACAGAAGACTTACTTCCTTCTTTAGTTTGATTCTTCTGTCTTTTGTAGTTGCCTTTAGTAAACAATTTGTTTTGCTTCACTGGTTTCTATAAACATTTGTTTAGTTTTCTTTATCTTCTGTTTTTTATTAAACTCATTGATTGAGTGTCCCAACAAACCCATGATGTTAATATCAAAATAATTTTCATTCATTCAATCAGTTTACAAGGAATTAGCATTTTCATGACAACTGTTTCTATTAAAATAATTCACAGATTTGTTTTCTCAAAGACATGAGGTATTATTATTATTATTAAAATAATTATTACAAACATTTATCCAATCAGTTATAAACAGTAATATTTTGGCCATTTATTAGAAAATATTGCTGGCTGAAATTTGGGGATCCGTTGTATTGAACTTATGTGATTCTGTGACGTTGAAGCTCATCTAACAGCCAACAGGACGGGCTGCAGTACAAATACATACACAACCACACACATAAGACTCCAAATGTTCACTTTTGGACTTTGAGAGAAAACCAGAGTACCTGGAGAAAAGCTTCCCAAGCCTGAGGAGACTAGGGAATTCGAACCCAGGACTTGCAGTGAAGCAGACCCACTTACCACCACTCCATCGGGCAGCAAGTGGAACGAGTATCGTGACAAAATTGTTTTTGTTCTTGTTTTATTTTTGTAAGGCTTAACCGACTGAATCTACAAAGACGTGTTGACACGGACCGCAGAGATGATGAGGCGTGACGGTGATCATGTTCTCTTAGAGTAAAAAGAAACCTAAACACCGGTCATTAGCTGGATTTGGGGTGGACCAGTTAATGGTCCAATTCACCTGAATGATGAAAAGGAAGCTAATGTCCATATTTTACTGTAACAGAGGATTAATGGAAAACTGATAAGAAAATCTATAGCAGAACAATTGGAAATGTAAAACCACACACAATATTTTAAACTAGATGTTACCTTTAAAGGAATGAAAGATATATTCACAGAAAACGATCAACAGTGATTTAATCTATTGTGAAAGTTCAGAGTAGTGGTAGTTTTTCAAATTTAAAAATCTGTGCAACCATCAGGAGCCAATAAAAGTCATTGTCATGGTTCACGAGCCGTGGTGAGTGCGCCTCTTCTACTAACGATCTTGGAGTTGTTTCCCTTAGGTGAGGAGCGGAGGGGTCACCAGCTGCGCTGGATTTCCAATTAGGAGTACTGGTATAAAGGGAGGATGAAGACACCACTCGACGCCGGATGATTGCTGGTAGCCCCAGCCACTTGTGTTTATTTGCTCGCTAGAACTCGTGATTTGGATTATTAGGATTTATGACCACGGACTGTTTTTGGATTACGTTTTTTGGATTTGCCTCTGAACCAATCTGCTTTGCCCTGTTTAGGAACACTCAACTACATCGATTACCTTCACCGCTTGAACCCTGGATCACCAGAACCATGTCCCATTCTCCTCCACAGTACCTGCCTTGGTCCTCTCCGTTGCCTCACCCACCTCGGCCAACGGGCCTCCACCTGTGCTCACCTCGGCTCACCA